ACATTTCTCAAGGGATTTTGACCAAACTTTTTAAAAAGAATCTGTCATCATTTTTTGGTGAAATTATTGACATTAAAAAAAACAACAGCAACAGAAAAAAAAAAACAGACAAACAGTTCTGTTTTCAACTCCTACTACGTTTTCGAAAGGAATTTTTGGCTAAATTTCATAAGAAGCTTTTTTCATGAATTGACCTGGCACATATTGTTCTGTTTTATGATTCAAACTTTTGGTTTGAATTACTGTCCATTGTTTTTGTATCGTTTTGAAAAAATAAACAGAGAAATTCACTTCTTATATTTATCAAAGCGCCTTTTCAAAATCAATCTTTTTACAGAACATCCATCGTCAGATGCTTGGGCTTTTTTGCCAATTTGTAAAAAATAATAGGGGAATTTCTTCTGTGTGCAACCCCCTTCTTTGATTTCAGTAAAATTTAAAGCTTATTATTATTAAAGATTGAAATTTTTACACATATCTTTGATATACATTCATGTTATATCAACTTCAACAAATTTTTCCTAACACTGACCAACATAAGTTTTTTTGTATTTATCAGCCTTTAGAATTTTAAAAAGATAGGCCAAAGACATGGCATAATGGCGTAAATCGATGCCAAAATCGATTTTGGTAAGTTAATAATAAATATAAATAAAAAATAAATTATCAGGACAATGTTGTCAAATAGGCAATCCGAATTTCACATCATTTAATTTCTTTAGTAATTCAGATATAAAAAAGCAAAATGATATATTAATATTATAATGTTTTTCTTGGACAGAAAAAATCATTTTAATAAAGTTTCAAAAAAAAAAAAAAAAAAAAATCTTTATGTTACAGTCTAAAAGGAAAATATATATGTTTCGATGATTCAAAAAAAACAAACATGGTACTTGAATGCACCAAGCTTTTCAGAAATAACCTTTTCTATTAAAATGAAGGCCCTTTGATATGATCAAATGATCATCTTTGTAATTTATTGTTATAAACGGAATTGTGCTTAATGTTGTGAAATAATCATTATTTTTTTTTGTTTTCTTTTTTTTCCTGGCATCAAACAATTTTCAAAGAAAACTAGAGTAAAGCAATCTGAACAAAAGGAAGAAATGACAATCTGTTTTATTTTCGATTAAATATCGTATGGAATGACCACAGCCAAAAGAATAAAAAAAATATTGCAAATAAAAATTTTCATAAGGTGTTCTGATTGCCTACACTAACTTAGTTCTGGTTCCAAAAAACTTTATAAAGGTTCGCCTTGATTTGGGACATATGCAATAGAGTTTTGAACTGAATTTTTAATTTACAGTACGTGTTCAAAAATCGTTTCCCCATCTAAATATCTCAAAAGGAAAAAAAAAAATATTTATCAATTTTGTGAAAGCTTAAAGACATAAACGTAAATTTACACTAATGGTAAGGGGAAGGCAAATCTGTTTGAATCAGTATTTATAAAATTAGCGGACAAAATGGTCATTGGTTCAATTATTAAATCAAAAGGGAGGTTAACTAAATTTCCAAACCAGTGTTTTATTTAGGGGCGGCCCCCAAAACTGAAGTAAATTATTCTGGTTATTTGTGCACGGCTTTAAAAATTGACAATTTTAAAATAAATTCGTGTTTTGTATCTTTGGTTCCCAATCCCAATTTTTTGGTTGTACTGCTTGAACCGGCCCGGTTTTTGATAAAATATTGTTGCTCATTTTTATCTCAATTTCATATGTATAAATTTCTAAGCATAAAATATTTAAAAAGCTCCATAGAAACTATACTTATGACCTTTTCAATTAAAAATTTAAAAGACCGTCTAAATCTAGGTTTATATGTGTTTTTTTGAAATTTTTACAGAAAACATATTTGGTACACCATCCCAATAGCTATACAATAACGGGTGCTTACTTCATGTAGAAAAAATTTTTAAAAACCCAATTTTTTATGAAAAATTTATTTTCCACACCAATAAAAGGGGGGAAAACTTTTTTAAAAGAGGGCCCAAAATTTACAAATTTTAAGGGGGTTCTTTTAAAATTTAAAAGTGATGCACTTTTATATTTTTAAAAATTTAAAACCCTTGACCAAACCTTAAAATTTGTGAAAATGTCCCTTGCCCTGCTTTGAATTTAGAACAGTCCACCCTTAAAGTTTAATGTAAGGTTTTAAAACCCAAATGACCAAAATATAAAAATGAGACCATATAGCCTGGTCAGAAAGCCTCCGTAAGCAAAATGGGTAAAACTTTGGCTATAAATTTGGGCGGCCCCCTGGTTTCTTCCCGGAGGGCGCATTTTCTTTTGTTTGATTGATCATAAAATTTTTTTCTACGGCCCATTCCACTGACCGCGCTTTTTGCATATACATGAATACCGGTAAACTGCTTACAGCCTACCCAGGAACGATGCGGTGGCTAAACTGTGCTCTGGTAAATTCAATGTGGCTTACTGTGATCCTGAGTGAAAACTACCAACACCACCACAACCATAGTCCTGGTCAGATTGCATGGATGTTCCGGCTTGCCACCTGGCTTTATAACGGTGGTTTACCACTCTCGGTTCCAGCAGCATAAGGGCTAAAGCCTCTAAAACTTTTCTTGAATGTAACCCAGTACAAATCATTGAATTGGTCTCTAATAATGAACTTTTTCCCGTTTGGCCTAAAGCTTGCTAAGGCCTTATAAACAACAATTCAACAATCTTATTTCATATGAAACACTCTTGTATCAGAGCTGGGAAGAGTTGTAAAGATTTTCAAATTCAAATGAGATCAATGAATTAAGTTATGCAACAATCTACATCACAGGTGTTAAAAATAGAGTTGAAATGAAATCAAACTAGTTTTGATTCTGTTTTCTGGAGAGCCTGCATGATCCTCCTTTTTTAAAGTTTTTTGTATGCACCCTGTCTATTTTTAACACCTGTGACCTTGTTATGTATCAGCCTGGAACCATTTATATAAATTAAGTAGATTGTCACCTATCGTTCATTTCAGTGAAGTTTCGTAAAAATCAAAAAAGTTGTTAAGGAGACATTTACAGCAAATGTGAATAAAAACGCACTACTACATTCACTAAAGTCCATCTCCTAAAACTTTATGCTCTGGTGAGCTAAGATACAATAAGAAAAGTAAAAAATCTAGAAATACTGTACACAGAAGATGCAGAAATGGTGGGTTTGATAACTTAAAACAAAACAGGAATTATTTGCATACATTCTTTAATATAAATCCGCATGATAATAAATCTAATTTCATAATCATTTACAGCATATTAAATACAAGCACAAAATAAAGTATTCTATATTTGAGCTGTGCCATGACAAAACCAACATAATGGGTTTGCGACCAGCATGGATCCAGACCAGGCTGAGCATCTGGTCTGGATCCATGCTGGTCGCAAACCCATTATGTTGGTTTTGTTGTGATGCGGCTCTAATGGATAAATGTATGGAAGACAGAAAGGGACAACAGATAAGAATATAAAAACAAACCACGTTTTCAGAAAGAACAACACATTGAAGGTGGAGATTTCAGTTGAACGAAACTTTGGGGTCAAGACAGCTGGAAATCTTAGTGAAGAAGTTGGAAATTTTATAGAAGTGAACAGAAAGGGAGAATCAAGACTGAAGTGTTGTAGATGTGAAGAGATAAGGGGAAAAAAAACACGCCTGAATGAGACAATGAGATGGATATTCTGAAGTATTACAAGAATATATAAATGTGGAGATGAAACAAATCATTTTCAGATTACAGCATAAAAGGCTTATTACCATACAAGTTTTTATAAAGGGCCAGTAGATAATTTAGTTAGATATTTCATATAGATAAATGAACACATTATAAGGTGGTAGACAAAAATAAATATCAAAATATAAAAGGTGAAATATAACATACTGGGCAGAATCATTTTGTTGTTGCTGGGTTTAAAGTAAAACCAATAGGCGCTATTAAGAGGCTTTCTAGCTTTACTGGTGGAGAGAGACTTCAGGTAGCCTATCTGTGCCTTATTTCAGATATAAACAGGCAGGCACCTAAGTAGAACCACCAACATTCTTTAAGTTACCTAGATAGCTTTCACACATGAAAAAATTTCAAAGTCCCTGAGCACTAACTTTCTCTCAGCTTGACAGCTTCCTCACATGAAAAAAAACTTCAAAAATCCTGTGCAGGATTCAAACTCAAGGCAGTGAAGGATTACAGATTCAAACTTAACCACTCAGCCACTGAGTACCCAAAGACAAAATCTATCCTTGTTTTTAACTACTTGTGCATGACTATATCTATCTACATTAAGAATTTTCTACATCTTCAAAAAGAAAACAAAAAAACAATAGATAAAAAATACTTGTATATATATACAACGGCTATCACAAGAAAGAAATACATGTATTCAGAATTTCTACAAAAATTCAATAGCTACTCAATGATACATTTTGATTTCTGTTCAATTTGTGCTATATTATAATACATATATTTCTACAAAGTTCAAAAGTATATTGTGAACATATACAATTCAATTTTAGAATACAAGCCCCGAGATACAGACATTCAGAGGGATCACCCATTTACCAGATTTTTAGAATACAATTTGGATAATTATAATATGGATAATTATTGGTTAATGTACTAAACATGTTGATAGAAAACCCCCAAACCAAAAATAATTATTACTGTAAATATTTCCCTTATTTTCAAAGCACGATTGCACGACATATTATAAAAAATACAAGTTAATAATTTAACATCACCTAGTATATAACTTACACAATGTGTTAATGTATAACGTTTAAAAAATAATATCACATACACAGCCAGTATTATTCTCCACAATCGACAGACAACTGACACACCATTACAAAAACTGTACAGTTTGACTTCTTAATATGGCATCAACAAGTTTTACCAAGTCACAAATGTGAGTTATTTGGCACACTTTTTCTACTTATTCGATATAGAAATGAAGATGTTTGGCATTTTAAGTATACAGTATCATATGGCGAAGGAATTGTTTAACTCATACTTTCATCAAATCTTAAAGATCTATTATGTATAAATCGCACACAAAAAATTCTCTTAAAGCAAACTTATTAAATTCTAGTACAAATGCATCAACTCCTATGCTCACAATATAATTACCCACTTTTATTAGGGTTTTTAGATAATAAATTTTGTTGGTCTTCTAAGTTAAGCTTATTATTGAACGTTGCTTTCGCATTTTAAAGATCTCTTTCTGAGTTTCAATACAATACAAATGTTATCCTGGCATACATCTATTTGTAACAGTACATCAACATTGTCTTGGCTACAAGAGTCTATATTTAAGCATAGTCTATATATGATGAAAGCACAGTAGTGTTTATTTGGGTGCCTTGATCGGCCTCATTGCGTCTGCGTGCCACGTGCGGAGATTGGCGAGGGCACGGTTGACCTTATTGCACCATACTATCCTCTCTTCTTTTGTATCGGCGGACAACATGAACCTATAAAACAGAATACATTTATATATAGTTACAATTTTTATAATAATTTTGCTGAAATATCACAAAAATCGTGGCAAAGACATTATCTTAAACCTAACAAATAAAAACATTCATTCACCAGTGAAAAGATAATTGGATTTACATCACTTTTGTTATACAAAGTGATAAAAGCATGCTAAATGTTAGCTTTATGGCAGGAGAAAATTACAATTATTGGCGTCTTCATTTTTGGTTGTTTAGGGTCATTGAGTTTGACAAAGAATAAGTACAAAAGTACAACAATAACTTTCATGCAGAGTCTGAAAATGGTGAACCCTGGAGGCAACTGTCTTTAATATTTCAAACACATTGAAGAATGGATAAACATAGACCTTTCTGTAAGGCGATTTATTAACTTTTACTCTTGAAAGAATTAAATACAAGAACTCTAAAACAGAGATTTTTTTTTTGTGTATACCTTGTAGTTGTCATAGTGTTATAGGTTTTGGTGACAAGTGTATCTTGTTCCCCTCGTCTTGGTGGACGTACCGACACAAGTTCAAATGTGTGAGGTCTTGCACAGATATCTCGTGGTATCAAACCAATTTTCTCCGTAATTACCCTCTTCAAATCTATAATGCCCATAGGATCCTGAGGGGGGAGAATAGAAAAGAATTAACAAAGTCTGAAATCTTTGAAGCATAAATATTTATGACTAAAATCACTTTATTTGAACTCTACAATAGTGAATAGTTTTAGAATCTTAACCTTTAACATAAATCTGTAAGCATATTGTTTTAAAAAGTATCCTTCACTGAAGGATCATAGGTTAATGAGAAATAAGTTATATAAACATATAGTAAGATTATCTAAGTGCTTATGACAGCAAAGCCAGTGTCAACATAGACATAGAAGATATGACTTCAGTGTTGTAATATTTTTCTGGTTCTCCGGGATCACTGTTTCCAGCACATTAGATACTGCTTTAAGGGACATAAGAGATGCTGCACATTTTCATTATATCTCATGAACAGATTCAATCCGAGTCTGCAATTTTCACATTATATTGTTTTCCGTGGCTCTGAGGATCACCCCTTTTCTAGTTTTTGTGTGCAAAAATACTATTAATCATAATAAAGTAAAGCGCCTGAAGTTATTCTATTTACAACCACCAAACATGCGTTCAAAACAAAAAAATCTTTATTAAGTAAAAGCTTTCACATTACCTTTCTCTGTTCATCATCGGGATATTTCCAGAAGCAGAGTTTGTTTCCAGCGAGTACAATCCATCGTCTATGCCACGCTCCGAGACCGGACACATCCTCAAACATGGTGAGGAATCCCCGCTCCTCCACATTCTGTTCCATCATACACTTGAGTCGCATGTAGATCATACCGTGAAGTGGTGAAAGGAAAGGTATCTGAAGATAGTATAACATAATTATATGTGTAATCCACCATAAATGTTCAATACAGTAGGTTAAAAAAAGTATATACCATGCAAATTGAGACTTATGTTAAGTTTTATCATTATTTATTTAGACTTCATAGTAAAAACAATTTGGAGCTTATTTGAGACATATTTATGTCCGCTTACCGACACTAACTAGTATAAATGTCAAGTGACAAAACATTTTCATGACCAAAGTAGGGCTCAAACTCGCAATCCCTGGTTTGTGAGGCAGACAACTAGGGTTCACACAGACCATCCATGGTGCCTGCCGTCATACTTATCTCATAATGAAACTGTTGTTAAGTTGGGTTTTTTTGTTGTTATTGTTTTTATGTTTCACCACTTTTATTTCGTTTTGTAGTTTTTTTAAGAGGCATTAATGGATAACTGAAAAAAATTCAACCAGTTTCCTATAAAGTTCAAGTTTTCAAGCACTTTTTTCCTTGACAAAAATTCAAGTTTACATATCCTGTGTGACAACTTAACAACTAGGTCACCATTTATATATTTAATTTATAAAATCAAGATATAACATTTACCCTCTCCAGTGAAAAGCTGCTTTTGTCGAGAGATTTCATTGTGATAGGAAGTGACGTGATCAGGGTAAAACTGGTCGTTCTCACGGCTGTAGGACCGCCAGGGCTCTCCACTGAAATAATCAGATGAGCCGTGTCATGACAAAACCAACATAATGGGTTTGCGACCAGCATGGATCAGGACCAGCCTGCGCATCCGTGCAGTCTGATCAGGATCCATGCTGTTCGCTTACAAACCCCATTACAAGTAGAGAAACTGATAGCGAACAGAATGGATCCTGATCAGACTGCTCGGATGGGCAGGCTGGTCTGGATCCATGCTGGTCGCAAACCCATTATGTTGGTTTTGTCATGACGCGGCTCAAATATGAAATATAACTCTCAGAATACAAGCAGTGATAATCGCTTGCCCATATCTCAAGCACAGATCCATATTAGCCTACTTAAACACCAGACTCAAGGGTTGACCGCAAAACTGTAGTAACTTATATGAAATAAGGTAGAACTTTTTTTGGGTCACACTGGTAACACGGGTAGATTCAGTTGCTTCCAGCAGGCTAAACTTTAATACTTTACAGCTCTTATTCAACATGAGGCAAGTTCAACCTTAGTAAGGCTTAGGTTTAAAACATAGTTAACAGGGGGAATAATTCATGAAATTTCTTTTTGTGCATTGGCTAAACAAATTCAGGTAAAAAATCTTTTTTTTTTTAAAAACAATGATTTTGATTTCTGTACAATAGTTTTTATGGTCATTTGTTTATTTGTTTGGTTAAAAGGGGCACCAACAAAATTTGGGTAACATGCTGATACAGGAAAATGATTTTGGCTCACCTCGGGTGTTACAAACTTAAAGCAACACCGCAGGTCACAACCACCTCACCTGCTAAAGTTAAGAGATGCATAGAGGGGGAGATAGAAAGATGGTTAATCTGGATTGACAACTATTTCATGCTAGAGCAATGAGACTTAATTACTTAAAAGTCTATCTCTGGTAGGGTTTACCACAATATTTTGCATAGAGTTTAACTAATGGCTGACAGAAGTTTTTCGCAAGTATTCTACTGCTTGTATGAATTGTAACACCCCAGCGTAGAGTGAGCTATTGTATAAAGAGCCAGATGGAAGGCTTCACAGAATTGACACATACTTTGTCAATCAACAAAACATAACTTTATGCTCTTGCAACTTAGTACTGAAGAAAGAAAGAAAAAGATAAAACCAAACCCTACACTAGTACTGTTGGCTGTATCTTGTTTTGATATTAATTATCAAAGCATTTAAACAAGCAATAGACAGTTCCAAACTGCCAAGCAGAACAATTTCATCACATAAATAAATTTCAGCTCAGTAAGATCTGATTTAAAGGTGCAAACATTGTGTATGAATTCAAGACAACATACTTGCAACATGTGACATATGTTTGGTTTTCTTGGGTGTCTTCTTCTTCTTATCTTTATGATGTTCTCTGGACACAGACTGAAAGCATGACAAGCAATACTTGTCACATATAAACATACAAGGTTATTTGTGATGCAGGTTACATGCATGATGGGTATACAGTATGATATACCAAAATGAGCCACGCCAATCATAATATGTTCATATTGTTCAGTAATTAATAATTTGAGCTAATTATTCAGAGATCTGACCTCAAGGTTATAAATCATTTTTCAGAGTTTTGTCTCAAATCTCAGGATTTTCATTGGTCGGTGTACATTCTGTGGCAGTTTCTGACCAATGAAATGCTTCAGATCTGGGTTTGAGATGGGAAAATTTCTTTACCTCAGACCCAGCACTAAGGCTTTTTGTATTCATATTGTAAAGCACAGAGTATAAAAAATGTTTTTCCAAAGATGTTAATGAGTCATAGAATATATAATTTTCATACTCCTAGATCATGGCTAAATGTTATGAAATTGGCATAGAAAACATATGAGCCGCGCCATGACAAAACCAACATAATGGGTTTGTGACCAGCATGGATCCAGACCAGCCTGCGCATCTGCCGGTCTGATCAGGATCCATGCTGTTCGCTTACCAACCCTTTTACAAGTCAAGAAACTGATAGCGACCAGCATGGATCCTGATCAGACTAATCAAATATGAATTTCTTACACAGATCAGCATAACAGAAAAATATGCAGAAGATAATTAAGAAACATACTCAAAAATTAATCGAAAATCGTATTTTTGAGCTATTCATAGCCCAGTTTGAGTGAAAAACATTGCAATGCTTTTCAATTTTGGGTCATTTTTCACAATTAAAATGAATTATTCTGGAAAGCGGATGAACTGAATTTTTCCACACAAGTTATAAATTTATACCTACATCAAATGGAACGGAAGTCTCAAAATATTATTTCCAGTCCAGTCATGTCAAAAAACCTTCAGTGGAGTCCCTTTAAGATTTTGAAGCGTTTATATGACCAAAATGATGGTGTGGCTCAGAATGATGTTATAATGAACAATGAGGGGTTAGTTTCCCGATTACAAACATAACTAAGTTAGTAATAACACAAACAATATGTACAATAAATAGATCAAGTTACTTGAATATACAGGAATATGAATTCATTTAAGTTATACATGTAATCAGGGTTGTCATTAACATTTTTTGCAGAAGGTTTGTTTTAAACTTGAGGCGGTCATTTCTGTCTTTATCATGCATAACAAAGAGTGTTTTCTTAATTTTGAGGCAGCCATTAATGCATTTGAGACAGGCATTTTGGCCTCTTGCCGCCTCTTAATGACAACCCTGCTGTAAATAAGTTTTTGCAAATTTAAACATATCAGATCATCACTTGTGATTTCGGTATAAGGAACGAAACGGAAAAAAATCCTAACAACTGGCAATTTGTTACTTTCCAAATAGCATGTACTGTATGTATGTAATGACCAATATCAGCGAATGATACTTTGAAATTAACATGTTGCAGAATGAAAACTGTTTAATAGAATATGAGAATATGATGTCACAGAAACATTTTAAACAGAAACAAGTGCTGTCCATAAGACAATGCACTCCACCATTTTCAGACGAGTGCTTGACAGTAAGTAAAGGGGCTAAAAAGGTAGCTCAGAGATATGTGACCTATCCCCTTCATGTTAGATGATCAAAGAGAACAAGAGGTAAGTAGTTTCAATCCATTCCCTTCAGTAGTTTTGGAGACACTAACACACACGAAAACTTAAAGTGTGACTGCAACAGTTATGTCAAGGTGAGATGTTTATATTGTCTACACCTATTGCTACAGTGAAAGGTTTCAATACATTTTCATTCTAGCTTCAAAAACTTTATGATGGAAAAATTGAGACAGTTTAAGCAACCTTTTGGGAGACTATTTTTGGGAATTTTCAACAAATTGTCAACAGATGTTATCTAGAACTCTGCAAATGTGGGTTTTTCCATGCCATTGCCCCAGTACAAACAAACTTTTACCATTATAGCTTCACAGTCCACTATCGGTCACAATAGATTAGTCAACCTGTTGTGCGTGTTTTCGAAGCTGTAACTGTATAAGTTTGTTTGTACCCAATTAGCTGGGAAAAACTCAAAATTTACTTTATTCTGGAATAAGTCTATTGGGAAAAGGCCTACATAATGCAATTTTTTTTTAAAGAAATTGAAAGATCACTGTCATCTTACCATACTGTAGATTTCCAGGTTGATGTTAAAGTTAGAAGAAATTCCGTGTATTTTGATCAAGTTTGGAAAGTCGAGACTTCCTCGCATCATTGGGTCGTGTGTAGACAACATCTGGGTTGTTATAACTTGTGGTCCATTTCGTATCAACAGCATGAAATAGTGTACTGTATTATCTGAAAACATAACATTTACTAACACTGTATATGAATAAAATAGAAAAACATAATAGAAACCTTAAAGAATGCCAAAAACAAGGAAATTCGGAATGATTTAGGCTCGCTTTGATTAACTCTGTTACTGTAAGTGTCATGTGAACAATATTTATTTCTTATCGCCAGAAAACACTATAAAATCAGCTTAACTGTTTGACGAGTCATAATTGGTTATAAAAGTAAAGTACAATGAAATTTCGTCTGGTTATGTTAATTGTCAAGTGTTTAATTATTTACCTGACGATGTTCCTATTTTGGTAACAAAATCTTTCTTTAAAGGCAGTCTGATATCACTGATAGTTAGAGAGCCCTTCGGTCCCTGCTGACTGGGCGGCTCCAACTGTTTTGTCTCCTTCAATCTTTGCATCTCCGTCAGGTATGCCTGCCGTCTCTGGCCTACAAGTACAACATCACAATTTAATGTTTTTATGTACTCGGATTGTTTAGCACCATTTATGTCTTTTTTTAAATTTTTACACAAGCACAATACTTGAAAAATATAGTACAGAATATGATCGAGAACTGAAAAGTTTTCAGCCACAATGATATTGTAAATTTATTATGGTTTTCAGTAAATTGTAAATGTTAATGCATTTTTTGGTGGAGGAAGACCTCAGGGTGCCTCTCCATGCACTATTTCAGAAACTATTTTGTCACCTTAGTGCAGTAAAAGGTTAAGTCCTTCTAAATTTAATAAAATTTATCAGTTATTGCACTAAGGTGAAGAAATTTTATTGGATCAATTCCCATCAAAGACAGCATTCTACGGTATATGGAAGATTTCTAACCTGAAGCAGTGCGAGTCTTACGCTATAAATTGAACAGAAAATGAAATTTACACAAAACTATACTTACAGGACACCAACAATAATCGGTTACATTCCACCTGCTCGGCTGAACCGGCAAACTGTGAATCACCGGAACAACATTTGTTGAGAGCATTACTCGTTTGCATAATCACACTCTGTTCTTGACTCACCAACTCTTGTAACTCCTAGTTAAAAGAATAAATGGAAACAAATTTGCCACAGAACAACCAATATTTTTTAAAGTGTAACCATAGCAATAATGAAATCTATGACATAGCAGAGCCCGTACAAATAATGCATGAAGACATTCTTAGTTCAGGGCAAAAGTAAAACTAATTATGAAGATAATCAAGGCATTAAAATTCTTTGGATTGGTTGGTTATGACCGACAAATTTCCTAATGAAGGAAAAACTTCAGGTGTCTAACAATACTATATTTCAGGCACAAGCAGGCATCTGGTGAGAGGCATAAATGTTTTGTACCTGAACTAGATGTCATTTTGTAGTCTCTTCCATCACACACAAAAACAGAAGAGAATTCTCTTCAAAAGCTATGGAAAAATCTCTTTGAGCACCAATAAGTCATATTTACAAGAGTTATACCATCTTCATTCATTCAAGAGATAACATATCATTTCGTTTTCTTTTTCAAAATACCTTTATCCTCTCTTGTAAAGTTTTCCTCTGAACTTCTGGAGGAAGTTGGGTGGGCATTTTAATGTCTTCCTCTTTTACGTCCTCGTGAACATAATGACTGTGACGTGAGATACGCTGACTCGCTGGCATCTCCTGACTCATTCTACAACAAATAATGTAATATTGTCTAAAAATACAGTTGCCATTTGTCGTGTTAAATCAATCTTTACTATGTGTCATGTTATATAAAGTTTAAAATCAAATACACCATTAAAAAGCCACATGTCTTCAAAAGACATTGGTTGTATCAAATCAATAATGAAAAGTGAAATTTTTACTGTAAACAAAGGCAACCTGTTAATAAAAGGCATTAAATGGGTTGTTTCGGCACAATACTTTAAAGGTACGGCTTATACAGGGGTGTCCATGAAACATAAAAATCATTCTTTGATGTATATGAAAATAAACCACACGACCTCATAAAATTCAAAAAAGGGTCTTGGAAAAATTCTACTAACGATCCTTCATGCACAAAATTTATATTCAGGTTTTAACATTCCTCTGAAATACAACTGGACCGGTCTAAATTCAAAGCATGTCAATTCCATTTAATAGCCAATATATTGAAATAAAATCTTTAACAAGAAAATAGAGGATGATGCAAAATTTTGCTCATTTTTGTTGAGTTTTGCGTCGCCCCAAAACAGACGAGTCTATGGTGATTTCTGAGTTTTTAGGTAGAAACCTCAGGTGTTTCTTTTGCTTTATTTTAGGCAAAAAACCCGGGCCCCCTGAGGGGAATCACCTTTTCCGAAAGCTAATGATGATGAAAAAAGAACAATGAACATGAACAAAGATATGGGGTATATATACATTATATTAAGAAAAATGGTGAATTTTAAAACAGGAAATTAAGCATAAGTCTACAGCAACATCTTTATAGGGTATAAAGCTATATCTAATGAAATATTTTTATGAAATTTATAAATGGTAAAATTAAGATGTTTCCATAATCCTATGATAGATTCTGGAAAGAGCTGTTACATAGAATGTTCCCATTTACAAAATATACTTGCTATTTTAAGTAGGGTTTATAACTGCTAAGCAATGATTTTATGCACAAGCCATTTACTAATACCGAAAAATTCAGACATATTTCTTACACAGGTATCTTGGAATTATACAAAATTACAGTAAAACAAAATTTGTGTAAACTCCAGACAGCAGATATGTAGCTTTAGACACTTCAAGTTAACCCTTTATTATACTAGATGGTCTTTTTTTCCCTTCTTTCTAAAACAAGCTTGTGTGTTTTAATTTTGACTGATTACTCTAGTGCACTAAACTATTCTTTCTGACATGCTCTATTGTAAAAACAGATTATTTTAATATTGTTTTAAATATTACAAATCTATATTGAAAGAAAAGCTGCAAACAAATCTCCCTCTTTGGTTATTTTTAAATACCGTACATCTATAAAACTAAGCAAGACAAGAGCTGTCCGTAAGACAGCGCGCTCGACTTTTTTATTGCTTGCCAATAAAAAAAGTTTTTGCAGTAAAAGGCAATACAAGAATCTCTGTATTTTTAAAGTGAACAATGGCCATGAGCATTAAGATATTTAGTGAAGAATTATTTTACTGAATTGTGTGATACCCTTGAACACTGCAGCAAAGTTTGAAATGTTTAAGTCAAAAGAGGGCTGGTAAGAAAGAAAAAAAAACTGAGTTGAGCCTTAAATAAATTTAATAGTATTAAACCCACTTTGAGAGAATAAGGTATTTTTACGTCACTCAGAACACCTTGGTAAATGACATAATAACATAATTTTTCAAGAAATCTATGCCAAGGAAGTCAAAAAGTGGACTGGTACTAAAAACTTAACCAAGATTCTAAGTCGATAAAAGGCCTTAATTTTTAAAACAAATCCTTGACAGAGTTACCTTCTCTTGCGTACAGATGGGGGTAATGATGTGAAATAGCATTAAAAGTTTCAAAGCAATATCTCAAAGGGTTAAGGCAATAAGTGGATTTTACCCATATTCAATGTATTTTCTAAGTCAAAAAGGGGCATAATTCTGTCAAAAACCTTGACAGAGTTATGTCCTCTTGTCTGTTGATGAAGGTCGTGATGGTAAACAAGTATGGTCAGTTTCAAAGCAATACCTCCAATGGTTTTGAAATAAAGTGAGGTGGTACAAAAAACTTAACCAAGCTCAATACACTTTCTAAGTCAAAAAAGGGCCATAATTCTGTCAAAAACCTTGACAGAGTTATGTACTCTTGTCTGTAGATGGAGGTTATGATGGTGAACAAGTATGGTAAGTTTCAAAGCCATACTTGTAATACTTCTGAAATAAAGTGGGGTGGTACGAAAAACTTAACCAAGGTGTGACGCCAACGCCGACGCCGGGGCGAGTAGGATAGCTCCCCTTTTCATAGAAAAGTCGAGCTAAAAAACAAGACAAGATTCCCAAAGTTGTTGTTTACTAGTAATTTGATTTGAGGCAAGAGTACTGAATTTTTAGAGTTCTGAAGACTTTTTTTGGGAGAAAATGTGTGTAATTAACCTTTTCTACGGCTGTAAATGAATGCAAATGATCGAAAAGATCTTATTTTTATCATAGGACCCCTTCATTGGAGGAAAG